CATTTCCTTATCTTACCTGATAAGGGCAAGAAAATCCTTTGACTCGACCTCTTCAGGCCTCCCCTGGCTCTCCAAGCTCTCAGAATCTGATTTAATGGTCAGATTCTCGGATTCTATGTTCCACTAATCTCTGTGCAATTCTCCGATGGAATTCCTAATTTCTGTTTATGTCTTACTAACTGCTGTTTTGCACTCAGTCAAAAGTATCCTCAAAAATGTTTTAGGGGAAAGGAAAGCATCTCAAGGTCTATACCATTTGCACCTAAAGAGCTGAGCCTCAGGGAGACAAAGCAACGGGTCCAAGAATTTGTGGTGTATCTGAGGCTAGAAGGCCAGACTTGGGACACCTAGGCCAATGTCCTCTCGCTTCTTAAGTCTCCTTCTTTGCTCAGGGGACTTCTGGCCCAGGAAACTAAATCTCCCGGGGCCAGTGTGCCTGAGGAGGACTTATACACTCCTTCTTGCCCAGCCCTGTCCAGGCAATCACAGCGAAAACACAACATGACTTCAAGGTACTTGGTTCCCTGGCCACTGTGTGTGTGTGTGTGTGTGTGTGCACATGCTCTGTTGTATACCCACTTTAATAATTACGTGTGCATCTGAAACTCTGAAGGAATGGTGAACCCCCCTCATGCCAGTTCCTTTTTAATTCCTAAATCCTCAGTTCTCCACCTAAGTCACGGGGCTTTAAAAGCCACTCAGGAAAAGGGGAAAGATCTTGACACCAATTTAAAAGCTTGATTCACCCAGCAGGAACCATCATTTTGCTATCAGTCTGGAAACCTTGCCAGTCCAAAATGCAGAAGAAAGAATTGCAACAAATTGCAAGTGTGTTAGTCCTGGCGAGGAGTGGGCTCAGAGAGCTAGGACCCCCAGGAAGACCCTACCAACGTCTGTGGGGTTTGAGCCTGATTGGGACACAGTCACCCCCACCCCCCGGGGCCCCACGTGGCTTGGAATGGGGCCCAGGAATTTTGCATTCCTCACGTGATCCCAGGAAAGAGACGCCGGTAGAACACAAACCACACAAGAGAACCATGGCTCCACTCAATTAAACATGGTAAGAATCGCAAATACCTGTGGGCACCAGGCACAGTGGGCACAGGGAAAGAAAGAAGACACAGTCTATCCCTCCAGGGGCCTAGGAGTCAAATACCTTCCCTGCCTCCCGCCAAGATGCTTCTTATGCTTTTAAGATACAGCTGTGGCGTCCACACCCAGTTAATCAAAAGGACCAGCCCGGAAGCTTGACAATGCACAGACCCCCAGATTCCTCCCAGAAAACACAGAACTAGCACCTCCATCCCGGATTTAGGAATCTGTAGTTTCAACAAACTCTCCCGATAATTCTTTTGATCATGATAGTGTAAACAGACCTGACTTAAGGCATGGTTTTCTTCAAAAAGCCCTAAACTTCTACTACCGGGAAGCTCTCAGAATGACCCACTAATAGTGGCCTATTATTACTTTGTCTCTCCCACATCTGTTATCTGTGATCGGGCACAAATTATTCTAAAATAAGCTGGCTCCTTCTCGTAACAGATCCCGAACGGAGAGCCCTGGAATAACCAGGGGGAAGACTGAAAAGGGATGAGACCAGGACAGGAAAGTTTCAGGAGTGCGGGATGGAAGGCACGAGATGCCGAGCCGTGCCCAGAGGTAATGTCATAGATCGCAAAATGGCCACGGTACTTTGTAGCTCTTCCCCCAAAGAAGCGGCATCTCTTTCTCCACCTCTTGAAGCTGAGCTGGCCTGTGACCTGTGGTGATCCATAGACCGAAGCCGAAGAGACAGTGTGCGAGTTCTAATCCTAGGTCTCCATGGGCCTGACAGCTTCCCTTTTTTGCTGTTCTTGGAACCCTGCTGTCACCCTGAAAAGGAGCCCAGCTAGCCTGCTGGCAGATGAGAGACCACAGGAAGAAGCCCCAGTCGAGCGCTACTCGAATCCTCCCTAAGCCAGCCAGCTGCGGCCAGGGACCACGGATGCCAGGGCAAGATCGCCACAGGTCACAGGCCAGCTCAGCTTCAAGAGGTGGAGAAAGAGATGCTGCTTCTTTGGGGGAAGAGCTACAAAGTACTGTGGCCATTTGCGATCTATGACATTACCTCTGGGCACGGCTCGGCATCCCGTGCCTTCCAGGGCAAGATGCGCTGGAGGAGAACTGTCCCACTGAGCCCACTCCTCATTACCCACAAATCGTGAGCAGAGGATGGACAGTTATTTGAAGCCCCTATGTTTTGGGGTGGTTTGCTACATAGCAAAAGTTAGCTGAGACAGGAAGGAGGCCAGAAATGTCAGGAGAACTCTGAAAACCAATCCCATCCTTGGAACGTTCTGCCTCGGGTCAGATCTAGGTATCATGGCGCTGCTGTGTGATAAGGGCTACCTCTGACTTCTCCAGCCCTTTTCTTGCCCTCACCCCCTTCTTTTCACTGAGTTGTGAACAGGAAAACGCTGATTCTTCTAACATCACAGCCTTGCTCCTCGTCCCATAACCGGGAACTTAATCCTAAGATTCAGTTTAGATGGGAAATGACTGCCATCTGAGAAGGCAAGGCAGGTCAGTCCCCCTCCCACACACACACACATCTAAGGAGTGTCCCGCAACACCTCATGGATACTTGGCCATAAAGAAGTCTCTGTGCAGTGGACATTCACCCTGAGCCAGCTCTTAGCAGATGGGACAGCTGAGGGAGCCAGTGGCAAGGTACTGGAATACAATAAGCCGTGGATGGACCAGGGCTCTGGCAACCAGGGCTTCAGTCCTGCCTCTTCCCGTTGGGAATCTTGGGATAGGCACTGAACCTTCCGGGACTCCTGGTCTACAGTGGTTGGATTGGATCCCCAGTAGGTTCCTAGGGATCTGTAGCACAGGGCATGAAGCTCAGGTACGAGAGGTGGGCTGCAGTTCTGGAGAGACCCCGCCTTGTGGGTGTGCGACCCAGGCCACTGCACAGGGCTTCAGGCTCGGAAGAGTACCATGTGTGCTTTAATGCTCAGCTGTTGCCATCTTGATATTCTTTGTAATTTTGTCTTTTTTTTAAAGATTTATTTATTTATTTTTAGAGAGAGAGAGAGCATGAGCAGGAGGGGCAGAGGGAAAGGGAGAGAGAATCCCAAGCACTCCCCGCTGAGTGAGGAGCCCAACGTGGGGCTCGATTCCCCGACCCTGAAATCATGACCTGAGCTGAAACCAAGGGTCAGACACTCAGCCGACTGAGCCACCCAGGCGCCCCAAAAATTTCATCTTTGAACTTGGGTTTTGTAAGTGAAGTCCAATGGGACAATGGAGCATGCACATGAGCAGAAGGGACATACACGATACCTCTGTTCCATCTGTTCCTTGCTGCCATGTTCACATACAGTGTTCATGGTTCCCCATGAGCACACAATGCTGGTGGACCCACAATGTGGGGATTTGAGCAAGACTCACATCTACAACTGCGTAGGGAGACACCGACAGCCCCAAGGGGTCGTGTTTTCTGTTCAAACCAGAACCCGTTTCAACTACAGAAAGAAAGCAATGAGTTCTAAGCAACAGGATCAAAGAAACTGTTAGGGATTAAGCCCCCCCCCCCGCCCCCAATTCATATGTTAGAGTCCTCACCCCCAGCACCTCAGACTGTGACCTTATTTGGAAATAGGTTTGTCGCAGTTGTAATTAGTTAAAATGAGGTCCTATTGGAGTGGGGTGGGCCCCTCATCCAATAGGACCGGTATCTTTACGAACAGGGGAAATTTGGACACTAAGTGTGCACACAAGGAACAGCATGCGGAAATTGTAGTCTGGCTGCCTCGAGCCAAGGAAGGCCGGGAAGCCGGGAGAAAGGCCTGGAAGGTCTTGGCCCAGAGTCCTCATCAGAGCCCGCATGGCCCTGCCAACACCGTGATCTCCAACTTCTCCGTCCACAGCTGGGAGACGATCCCTTTCTACTGTGTCCAGCGGCCCTGGCAAGTCAATCGGAGCCCGTCATCCCTCCTCCCCGCAAACTGCTCCCCTTTGCTGTTCCACCGCATGCGCAGAATGAGCACAGAGGAGCGACAAGAAAGATGGTGCGACTCACACTCCCTTTTCTTTCTGTCCTGCCGCACTCAGCAGAAGCCAAAGGGAGACATGTCGGTGGGATGTGCCCGCATCCAGAGGTGAAACTGAAAACAGCCAAGTTAGTTTCGTGCCGCGTTTCTGCAGCTCTGCTCGGAGCAAAGTGTATAGGCGTGTACAAGCTACAAAACAGGAGTTATGTTGTTTGCAGATTGCATGAGTTAAATGCTCTTATGTTTGCATTCAAAAGAGGCCTTGCACAATATAAAGATGAACAGTAAAATTCATATTAATAATTAAAATTTTAATTTCTCTTTACTTAAAACAACATTAAAGAGCAAATAAGAAACTCCATGACAAGTCAAAAAAGAGACCATGGAAGAAAGGAAAAAGCCTTGTACTGTACTACCTTTAACGGCACTTTTTTTCTACTTTTTCGAAAGGAAAGACTGGCATTTGCATTTTGCACTGAGCCTTGCAAATCATGTAGTTGGCCCAGTTCTAGAATCAGCCAAGAGCCACAGGAAATGATATTTCTACTCAGGTGCTCTGAATTTTTGGCTTTTCCCCAACTCCAAAATCTGGATCTCCCTGATATTGTTTCTTATAACTATTTACATGTATATAGCAAACACAAATGTTACATAATCACAGTGCCCAGGTCTGCAAAAATGTCACCTTTTTCATTACTCCAGAACTGATACAAACTTAGTTCTCAAAGTCCATTTACCACTGATGGAGGATAAAAATTTTGCTGATTCAAGAAAATTCTGTGACTTGGGGTTTAAACTCAGTCAATTCAGGATATCGTCCCTGCTAACTCCTTTGCTCCCCCCCCCCCCCCCCCCACAGGCACGCGCGTGCACGCACGCGCGCACACACACACACACACACACACACACACACACACACAGAGTTCCCCAAGGCGGCATTAAAATCCAGAAAGCAATGCCGACTCATTGACACATAAAACTCCTATTTTCTTCAGTCTTCTATCCTTATGCCCTGACACATGTAGCTGAAATGTTCCAGTCCACACGGCTCCTTCTGCAACATCTTCGTGCCCAGCAGGAAGCCCTTCCAGGTCCAGGGGCCGGCCTCAGCCTCTTCAGCAATCCTGGATCTGCTGGTGACTCAGCGGTTTGACTCAGATCCTCTGCACCTAGACCAGGGATTGACAAACTGTGTCCCAGGAGCCGAATCTGGCCCACTGCCTGTTTTTATAAACTAAGTTTTGTTGGAACACACTCATGGCTTTTCATCTACATTTTGTCCGTGGTTGTTTTTGCTCCACAGTGGCTGAGTTAGGAGCTGTGACAGACACTATAGGGCCCACAAACAAAAATACTTATCTGACTCTTTACAGAAGGTCGCCAGCTTCTGGCCTAGACAAACTGGCTTTTACTTCTACTTCCTGTGATTTCAGTGCAGGCAATAGTCTCTTCTTCAGGAAGTTTGCTTCCTCCTCAGGATGCGAGGTGTAAGTCCTCCCTCCCTTGCAGAAGCCCCCAAACTTACCTGGGGTTCCCATCCACCCCTCTGGGAAGCTGGGGCATTTGTCCATGTCCCAAGATGGAGATCCATCACTGTCCTGGCCCTGGTGATGGTCTCTCTGCTTGTCCTCCATCTCCAACAGGCCATCAGACCCTTCTCACCTCTTCGGATGGATTTGATATCATCGTGCCTTGGCCACATGCATTACTTATCTATTGGTGAATAACAGATTATCCCAACACTTAGCAGCTCAGCAAAACAAACATTTATTGTCTCTGTTTCGATGGGGTGGGAGTTGGCTGTCACTAGCCGGGGGACCCTGCCTCAAGGCCTCTCCTGAGACTGCAGTCCGCCTGTGACTCCCAGACTGCAGACATTTCGGTCGGATCCGCTTCCAAGCTCCTTCCCGTGGATGTGGCAGACCTCAAAAGACCAACTTCCCTGCTCCGCCCCTATGGGCCCCTCCACAGGGCTGCCTCATGACATGGTGACTGGTGTCTCCAGGGCCCGCAGTCCAAGACCGAGAGATGGCTCCCACGAGGAAAGCCAGGGTTTCCATTCTCTGTTCTCAGAGTGACACATCATCATTTCTGCCAGATTCTTCTCTACTGTCTCTAGTTCGCCATACTCCATTTAAGGACGGGGCCTTAAAACCACCACATCCCTCTAAGGCAAATGCCGGCCTCAAAATACCTTTTGTCAAAAACCAAAAGAAAAAAGCCAAGTTCTTGCAGGAGAAAGCCTGGGCTCTTGAGAAAAGACTGTCTACTCCTCTCTCTCAAATTCCGTGCGAAACTGGTTTGAAAACTGTTCAGAGATGTCTTCAATGCTCCCTTTCATCTCACTCCTCCCTGGGAAGCCAGGACTACTTTGGGGTAAAAAAAAAAAAAAAAAAAAAAACACAACAGAAACAAACAAACAAAAAGAAGCAGCAGAAAGAAAAACCTTGGTTATTACCTTCTAATTTTATCCTACCATGTGTACTCAACATAGCATTCTGGGTGTCTGAAATCCATCTGTTCAGGCAAAGGAATCAAGCAGACAAGATGAACCAGATAAATGAGGAGAGCCAGAGCGATGTGCCCTCCACATGCCGCAGCTCTAAGCACATGACCATCTGAGTAAACATTTGGAGCCACATAAATGCATTAGGGAGCAAGTCTTTCAGGAACAGATCACTGGAAGGCCCTGGCTGAAGAAAACCAAAGTCTCTGCTTACGTGGAGCCCATTCTTTGTACACATGTGTCTTCTCTGTGGCTATTCCAGGCTCCTCCCTCAATCCCACATCAGCACAAGTTATACAGTGGCCACCTGGAGATCTCACCCTTGCTTAGGACCAAATAAAGAGGAGTAGTCTGCCAGCACCCTTCACTTTCCTCCTTCTCGGGATAAGGGACAATATAAACACAGCGACTGTTTCCTGTGTACATATTATCACTTTGTTAGGCACTCCACGTACATGATCTCATTGAATTATCATCTTCACGACAACCCTGCCGGGAAATATTATCTTTTTTCTTTCAGATGAGATAACAAACTCAGAGAAATTAATTCATGGCCCAAGGTCGCACAGCTATAAAATGGGGAAGTCCGAATTTGAGTCCTGAGCTCCTTCTCTTTATAATATTACCATTCAAGGACTAAACCTGGGCACACGTCTTCTTGGAGCACCTGTAATCCAGAAAGATTTAGGGGGAGCTATCATTTCTATATTAAAATAAACATGAGTATGGACAGGAAAAACGAATATGCATTGTTATGATCAAGTGAAGGCCGTGCTTTTGGTCTGGGAAGATCTCTGGGAAGATGGGCTTCTTCTTGGTGACAGTGGAAGATCCCCCCATGAAAAAAAATTTTTTCAAGAAGCCCAACACCCACCCCCTGCCTTTCCACAAATAAGCAAACAAGCTAAGAACAGCAAGACATTAGATAAAGCTTTTTGATTTTCTGTTTTTAATACACCCTTGATTCCTTGTGGGACTCTTTCAACACAGCAACTACTGTGGGAGTGAAGGTGGATGATTGGGTTTTTTTCCATTCCTGATTCCCCCCTCCCCCCACTTTTGAATTCTGACCTAATCCTACTGAGATCCTTACAGGGGAATGAGACGTTTTGATTTGTTTGTTGATTTCCAAGACAATCCCTGGGAAATACCACTGCAACTGTGTTCACATTCACCTGAGTATAATGTTTTCGCTTGTTAGAAAGCAGCCTTTGCAACGGGAGCAAGGTGTGCACGCGACGTGGAGATGGGGGATGAGAGGAACCAAACAAGGAAGCTCGGAAAGCTATTAATCATTTCTTGAGATGCCCTGATGTGTCCTATTTGAGAGAAAGCGATGGCAGCAAAGGGGGGCCAGTTGGAAGAGTACAATTCAATCATCCAGATGCCAGTCCCTGGAAATTCAGACACAGCCTGAACTAACAGATGCCACATACAGGGACGATGTGGGACAAACTCTGTACTTGTGGCGCTCACCCGTTCCTCCCAACAACCCCCTGGGGTGAGAATTGTTGTTCCCATTTTACACACGAGCACACTGAGGCAAGGCAGCTCCCTAAATCGCGGAGCTTAAAAGTCGTCAGGCGGGGCTTGCAGGTGGGTGGGCAACATCCGGGTGCTGCGAGGCTGCCCCACCCCCGGGAAGGCGTGGAAGCCCCGCCCCTGCTCCCATACCTGCCCTTACGCGTCTCTCCCGTTAGGCTGTTGCTGGAGAGTAGCCCTTATGATGTATCAGAAAACATGCCCCCAAAAAAGGTAGCAAAGCGAAGCTCCCAACTAGAGTCTGGCGCTGAGAGCCGGCAACCACAGTCCCTTATAATGACACGCATCACATTCTGGTTTCTGGTGGAATTGGAACTCGCCCTCACCAGAGGTTTGCATGCCCCTGGAAGGCCTGGGGAGGCAAAGGTTCAGAAACCCAGGGCATGCCAAGGCTGTGGGGAAGCTACCGGCAGCCTCAGACTGGGTGATTTCTAAGAGTTCGCCCAGAAGTCGCTCAAGACCTCAGGCCGGCGTCTGTCCACGCTTCCACCCACAATTACCCTGAAGGACAGCAGTTTCGCCTTCTCTTCTGCCTTGCAAATCTCACTGGAGGGCCTCTGGCTGAAGAGAAACCCGAACCATATGAGAACAGGAACCGAGGGGCTTACTGTAAGTAAGGTCCTGCGTCTTCGCACAGTCCAGAAGAGAACGCACAAAGACATAGCAGAGATGCTTAGCTGACCACAGCCAAGCCAGCGGAAATGCCAAACAGTCGGTGCGTGGCCGATTTCTAAGCCCAAGTTACATACCTAGGACTCTTAAATAAAAGAATCGTTTAAATAAATGTCATCATTGTATTAGTAATCTATTGCTGCATAACAAACCACCCAAAACTTAGCGGTTTAAAACAATAACCACTTACGTGGCTCATAACTCTCTGGGTCCACAATCTGGGCTACACATGTGTCTGGTCGCTTGCGTGCGTCTGCGGGTGACTTCCTTCCAACAAGTCTGGTGGCTCTGTTGGGGAGCGGGAGGCTGGCTGGCGGTTGGCTTGGGCAGTGGGGCACCTCGAGGCACATTTGTCTCACCCTCCAGCAGATTAGCCCAGGCGTGTTCGCATAGAGGCTGGCAGGGTTCCCAGAGCGTGAACACAAGCTGCAAAACTCCTGATGCCCAGGCTCAGACCTGGTACAGGGTCATTCCAGCGACTTTCTGTTGGCCAAAGCAAGTCACAAGGCCTGTCCAGATTTACGCGTCAGAAAGAGACCCATCTATGAGGAGAGGAGCAAATGAAATCACATTCCAGTGGGGGGCAGGGGTCCATCCACAGAGCAGAATGTGCAGTTTCTAGAAACATCTACAAGACATCAAATAATTTGGGGAACAAGTGAGGCAATTTTATTTTTTTTTTTAAAGATTTCATTTATTTATTTGGCAGAGAGACAGCGAGAGAGGGAACACAAGCAAGGGGAGTGGGAGAGGGAGAAGCAGGCTTCCCGCGGAGCAGGGAGCCCGATGCGGGGCTCGATCCCAGGACCCCGGGATCATGACCTGAGCCGAAGGCAGACGCTTAACGACTGAGCCACCCAGGCGCCCCTCAAGTGAGGCAATTTTAAAATTTAAACATGTTCTTAAGATCCCCTTGCAGGACTTCAACACACTCAAGTGGATTGTTCATGTCCAGGAGGAGGATATAACATGGGGTGTTCCCCCACAAAGCCCTTTGGGGTTCAGGCAACACGCGGGGCAGGTGCTCTGGGAATCGTCCTTGGCAAACACCACTCTGCCTCGTTGTGATTTCCCGGCCAGGATCAAGGGAGATAGGTGTTTTCAGCATGTAGGGGATGAAATGCCACCGATGGGGAGGCCATTGCCCTGGGGGCTGACAGGGGAAACAAAGTGCTCTACAGTCCTCTCTGCCTTTGCTTTCCACCGGGAGGGGCCACCGCGTGTGTCCCAGCAGCCTCCCTGAGGCCATTCCGGCTTCCGAGCCAGCGGATTGCTTGATAATTACAGCGCTTGGCGCTTCCCGAATGCCTTTCCTCTGAGGAGTGCCAAGTAATTTACAATCACTTATTAATTAATCCTCAGCCCCCCCATGAGATGAGGCTGGGTTATTACGCGTCTTTGACAGATGTGTGAAGTGGGCAAAGGGAGACAAAGTGACATTAAGCTCCTGCCCAAGGTCACCACGTTGTCAAACTCACTGGACACATTCCCAGCTCCCTCGACCTCCGGGTCCAGGGTACCTGCCTCTCCCACAGCCCTGTGGGGGCTCTCCGGGCCGGGGCTCCAGCCATTTCAGAAAGGGTTGAGTTTTTCAGATCAAATGTGAGGATCTAGCTGTTCCATGTCATGGGGGTTTCCGTTTTTACTGTTCTGTTTTCGGTTTGGATGTTGAGAGCAGAGTTTTAGAATCTAGCACGTAGGTGTCCCAGAAGAGTTGGTTCTAATCGCATGACTTTGGCACTTGGTTCAGACACGTCGCTGACTCGGGGAGCGCCGTATGCTCTCCAAGCTGAAAGAGGATGCCAGATCCACTCCCGGAGTGTGAGCAGGGGCTGGGGCGGGTGGGAGGAGAGCGGGTGCTACCTCTCCCAGCACTTGTATTTTCCCAGCAACATCCAATTAGGAGATAAATGCAGATTTGCTTTTCTAAACAGAAGGCACTTACACCAACACTCAGTAAACTGGAGTCCAC